AAAGTAAAGGTCCGAAGTGGACGGGAAAGTGGAAAAAAGGAAAAGAAAACGCCACAAACATTGAAAAAGGGTGCGTGACGATTCAATCGTGGCGATGGCTAGGTCGCCGCGCCAGCCGCCGCAGCCCGCGATGCGACGTCGGCCGTGGCTAGAATTCAGGGTTCTAGCATTGGGGAATGTAGGATTAGATGAAGTTCCCAGTCGTGAAACACGGTATATGATCACCTGCCCCCTTAAAATACAGGATCCTTGTCCTTTGCCATTATTTACAAACTTATTCTGTCATATACTAATGTTATTGCCTTCCTCACGGTTCCACTACGTCTTGGAGAGTAGCTGATTAATGAAGAAGTCTCATTATGTTCAAAAGGACAACCTTTACATGGCACAAGCTCTGTACAGTGAGGCTTAAATAACTGCGGAGATCTTAAGGTGACTCTTGTTGGCTCACTGATGTCTGGAACTTTGGTCTTATCAGTTCTCTAACCCCACCAGCAACTTATGGACAAGGACCGTTAAGCCAAGGCCCATACAAAAATCGCCGCACCATTTGCCGCGCGCGACGCTGCCGCCGCGTGAGCGGCGTGACCTCATTAGCCGACGATTGAATTGACCGTCTCCCAGTGAGAGCTGGCCTGGTCTATGAAGTTATTTTCTAGGAGGGGTCGCGGGTCTTGGCTAAAGCCCGTGTGTATCCTCAGGCTCAAGCCTCCGCCTGACAATTCATGAGTTGAACTCAGTGTAGTTTATGTGTTCGCATACTATCCTATCTTGCTGCGCTGAAGTTTCACTACAGTGACTTGGTCATTGGTCATGCTCTTAAAAGTTCTCCGGTAAACTTTCGAAGAAGCTGAAGCACTGGTTTTCACACACCAAATCCTCATGGCGGGACGGAGGTCCATGTGATGCTTGGTGACCTCCCCAGTTCTGTGTGGATTTCGAAAGCATAGGTTGGTCTCGAATTTTCAGCATTCCCTCGCGTTGTTGTTGTGGCGTAGAATCAGGCTGCAAAAATTTTCACGTTCATTGATCTTATTCAGATGGGTTATGTTTTTTTTCCTCGATCTTATCAATAAGGTCAAATTCGTAGGGTGATTGTCGGAGGATTGTCTCTCGGTTTATGTTCAAAACCTTAAAGTATATTGTATGTTATTTACGATTGGAATAGTTCATCCCGCGGATAAGGTATAAAGTATCTGGGTTCGCAGCCGTTGAGATGGTGTCATTTTCGCAACTTAAGACGCGTGATTTACGCTAAGGATAACGATTTGCATTCATGCTCATTCATACGCTAGTGCACTGCCAGAGTTGCTAACGCGTGTTGTCTGCGTCTTGCTCTTTCCCCATGCTCTTTCGTTATTAGACCTGGTCTCTCGCACAGTACCTAGTGTCCCTCTATCCTATAATGCATGTACCGCTTATAAAGAGAGGCCCGAATTCAGTGTTCCCCACAATTTCTTTTTCTCTTCCCTTCACTTTTCAATTTGCACCTCCGATTTCATTATCGAGCGCCCCATGTGCTCGCGAAAAACACATTTAAAGTCAGTGAACACGATGGCAGGAAGGCGGAGCGATATTGGTGACGTCGTTGAGCGTGATTGGGGGGAAGGTTTTTGAAAGATGTCGTCAACCACAGCACCTAGCGCGCTGAGGGGTCCTGTCCATCAATGACGTACGATGACGTCACCAGAAGCGCTCCGCCCCTCAGCCATCGTGTTCACTGCCTCGTGTATTCGAAAATGATTGAATTTGTGCGTCCATTCTTGTACAAAGCAATTTGATAGCAGCGGCATACTGTATGAAAGGTTGCTTAGCTATTGAAAGGGGTTGAGGAAGAACGTGTGAGTTGAGTGGAAAACTGTGTGCCAGTCCATCAGCACTCCGCTCATATCCATTTACTGTAGGATGTTGAAGCATGACTATTCCAGAATGGACAACACTGACAACTATTCGATTCGATTCGGCGAGTTGATGATATTGAATGGAGCATTTCAGGTGGACATTCATTCTTTTTAACTTGACATTTCATTTTCACTTCACATCTACCGTCTTCCGCGCTCAAGCTGTTCGTGCTTCAAGGTGAATCCCTTCGACGTCCGCGAAGTTTGGGACATTTTTAAGTTGTTGAGTTTGAAACGGGTGCAAGTGAGCGGCTCAGAGAAGGGTATAGCAGGATGTCGCACTCGTGGGGAGCCATTTTGGTGTGCTAATTTATGAAAAAGAGTACCTCTCGGTTCAGCTCTGAACACCACTTTTTAGTCCTGAAGGAAGATTCCACGTAAGCTCGTATTCTGAAGAAGGGAAAGATAACTAGTAGGATGGAGGGAGACCCTCTTAAGAGCGCAGGACGCCGTGTATGCCCCAGCGGCCCAGCAGGACCGTACGTGCACCGCTCGCGCCGCTTCACTCCCACGATTGGCTAACCCTCGCCGTCTGACTCTAGCCGCTCTAGCAGAGAGAACGTTAGCGTTGATGAGGTCAGCACCAATGAGACTAGCCTAACGCGCAAATCAACGGGCAATGAAAGGTCTTTCTTGGGTTCTAAGCCATTTCTCTTGATTTTCCTTCCATCCCTGCATTACTGCCCACTACCTTGATTTCTGATGGGCTGCCGTTTCACTGCCGCCTTAAATTTTCAAAATCTCAATATGTGAAATTCTGAATTCAGGTCAGTTGCTGCAAATTTCGTGAGGATATCGTGCTTTTCAACTTGTTCGATGTATTCGAAGACACCTTCATGTATGACCTTGTGAAGCGATGACCTTTCCTCATCCCTCCTTACCTCTGGCCAGATGCTCAGACGACGGGTTGGCCTCGAGTAATAACCTTCCGTGATTGGTGGCTACCTTCAAGGACCAATCACGGTCATGCATAGCATACTCACACTTGAACCTAGCTCCGTAGAATGTAAAAATAATACGGTTAGATCTGATGTTGCTTACTCCTCATGCACGTCGTTCAAGAATAGTATTATTATATAGTAATTGTAAGTACAACTGTAAATACGTTGTGTTCTTTGTGTTCAGCCATTCGCATTTTACTGTGCCATTGTTTACTATGCGTTTTGATGTTGTATAAATCTATATAGAGTTTGATACACAATGGTATTATTGATGATTTCACAACGAAGGTGTATTCTCTCCAGTGGAAAGACGCAATTGTCAACTGACGAACTTACTAATGCAAGTTCTGCTGTTAGTTAAAGGCAGTGATCGCGATGCCCGTAGGATGTTGTGTTGATAACATCAATGGTGAAAGAGCTTAGCGAGTGGTTCAACTACGCTCCTTGCCATGAGAGGTCTACTCCAACCAACTCGCGACATTCAATGACGTCATCAGAACCGCACCGCCCTCCAGCCATCGTGATCACTGCTTTTAAGTAAAAATGCTTCGAGCGCGGACATCGAAGCAGTGCTTGGTACTGAACTCCATTCAATACTCCATCAATCACCCTATCAACTCAGGACCGGGGAAGATTTTGAAGGCGACCCCCTTACTTTCGCTCCCATTCGCTCTCAGACAAGCCTAGGGTACCATAACAATTAGAGCCCGCGTAAAGAGCGGATCAGATCCAGAGGCCCTGGCCCGCGGGAGAACCAGCTGTGTATGTACTGTCGCCTTTGATCAATGCCAGTGTGAGTGCTCAGTAGTGGGGTTGTCGATCTATTGAGAGTTCATTGTTAATTGACTGGAGGACCATGCATTCATTAACCTCTCGGCCCTGGCGCTGGAAATCGCACCTAAGAGGCCTGCATTACCGGCTTAAGAGCATATTTCTACTACTCACTGCTAGAGGCTGCTTCAGACAACCTTCTGATTCTGAATTTTGCTGATTCTGCTGTGTACCCGACAACTGTGACTGTGACGTTGTGTGTTGCTGCTTGTATTACAAAGTATTTCTGTGCAAGTGGAACAATGAGCGCGCGCTCCATATTCTGCTAGGTAAGTGACTATCAAGTAAGTAATTATTTTCAAAATTTAGTGCAATACAACTGGGATGGGCACGTCCCAATTTTTTGGATACGGTAGTGGCGAAATGTATGTAACAGGGGACTGCCGCCCACTACTATAATGTGGCGAGGCGTTAGGGAGTAACTCACACATTCCAACTATGCCAAGTGATAGCACTCACCTACCACCCCCCCCCCTTACTCCCTAGGTTGGCTGCACTCTCCCTGGCTCACGAATGCCTCAATTCTGGACAGTAGTAGCAGAGTAAGCAGATCCCTAACTTGACACATTTCCGTGAATACCAGTTCAAAAAATACGGTCGGCCCATCCCATTGTATAGCACCAAAACTTTGATATGCTCTTATTGGTTGCAAATGCCAGTCTAGTAGGCATACATGCGTGAAAAGCCCAGGATGTGTGTACGTAGGGACTGGTGCACGGCTATGGTTCCACGAGGATCTATGCTTCAGGCCTTTGAGGAAGCGTCCTTCAGCGAAACGAGAAATTCGTCAGCCAGGAAAAGTGTAGCCAATTCAGAGGATAGGAGTGTAGCGAGTCACTTGAAATGCGTGGAGGACTGGAGCAGCGCGGCGTGTAGCTGCGCGCTCCAGTGCCAACGTGGATTACGGTAGCGGTCACTCACCGGACTGTTAAATCGGCTTGTATCAGTGAGCAGCAGTCCCAGGTACACACATTTCGCGCCCACCGTTCCCAAAAAATATGGCATGCCCATCTTACTTGTATTGCACTCGAAATTCCTTTTGATATTCTCTTATTAGGCAATGCCAGTCTGGTGGGCATACCGGTTTTTTGAATACGGTTGGCGCAGAATTCATGTACGTAGGGACATGTACCCACGACTATGGTGCCACGAGAATCTATGGACTAAGCCTTGAAGGGAAAAGATCACATTCCCGCACTCCAGCGAAGCAAGAATTCCGTGCGCTAGGAGAGGGTAGCCATTTCAGAAGCGAGTCACTTGAAATGCGTGAAGGACTGGAACAGCGCGGTGCTCGTTACATCTTATCAGTAAGCAGCAGTCCTAAATACACACATTTCGCGTCTACCGTACTCAGAAAGTCGGCATGCCCACACGAGCAGCATTGGACCGGTACTGCCATGAAAAGTTAACTACCTTCCGCATCTCCCATTTAAAAAAAATGAAATTTTCCGTTTTGAGTGGTAAACTCATCGTGCGTAGAAATTGCTTGATTTTACGCCAAGAACGAAGTGAACCAAAAAAATGTGTTTGTATTTTGAACACTTTGTAAAGGTAGAATAAGTAATTTGTTCAAGTTGCCGCAGTTGAGGTGTCACAACTGTTAACGAAGCAGCGCTTTCAGTTATTGCTTGGAGTGATGTCACCAAAACGCCTTTACCCTGCCTTTTTCCTTTGTACGATCCATCACATTGCACGCGACATCTTCCACAAATTACTGCGTCCATTTCCTTTATCTCCGCCCAGGTGTCTCTGAGGTGTCCACGGTGGAATTTTGGATGGTTGTTTCATATTGAAATCGGAAGTTTCATGCATAAAAAGTTGCACAGTGTCTTTAGTGAAAACACATAACGCATTTATGCATCGAAAGAAGAATACAAGTCATGTAAGGATTCTAAGATAGGACTATCTACTCCCAATCGAAAAAATTTCCCAGTCTCATGTTCAAGTAGAACAGTGACTGGTGGGAGGGTCGCCGACCATCACGGAGGGCTCATATTTGTAATTTTTGCGAGGGGATGATATTTGGGGATAGCGAGGTTAAATGCAAAACGAAGAAGAATTGGTGCATTTTGAAAGGTGAAAGGGCCGTTGCTGCGGAAGAGCTAGGTCGTTTTTGGCATTTTTTATTCTCATGAAATTTTTGGCACGAATATTTGAGCTGACGAATCAAGTACAAAGCAACAGCCACGGTGTTGAGGGTGGTGGTGAGCAGTAGTTAGAGGGAGGGGAGGAGGGGTCGAAGGAGGGGCCCACTTCCAAGGCTAATGGTGAGGGCCATGTTCAGACTCCCTAGAGGAGAGGTGTAGAAATTTTGAAAACTGCGGAATACAACGGTTGACCATGACTGCTGTGCTCGACCCCCCTTCTCTTCTCCCTCCTCCTCCTTTGAAAAAGCGGTCTATAGGCATGCTGCAACTAGCGGCTGGAGATCTCTGTGAACAAAAATTAAATTAAATATTGGTTGGTAGATATTTTGGTGTTCAGTGCAGAACATGATTCCTTAAAAAAAGAAGATCTCTAATATAATACTATCTAACTAATTCGGAAGCAGGGATAGCCGAGTGGTTAAAAGTGAACGATCATCTCTGCACCTCTGAGAGAAGCGGGTTCGTTCCCTACCGAGGTTTGACCATGCAGGTTGACAGGCCGACTGATGACGACCCCACTCACAACAACCATGCTTTGAAGTCGTAAAAATGTCAGTGCTAAAGCTAGGATGACACCCAGAAGTGACGCCAGAACCCTGACCCGAGTTCTGTAGAGTGTGCTGGGCGCGACTTGTCTCTAGAAAAGAAGCTAGTTTGAATTGGGATTGCAAACGCAGGATCGCTGAGTGGAAATTTCTAGCTTTAGGAGACGCTATGGAAACGTGCTAAGGCCAGGGAAATCGGTAACGGAGAAGGCGCAAGCGGAACGGCGTGGCCATGGCGGTAGCAGAGTAGCTCAAGTACTACGTCTCCGCCGTAAGACGATAGATTCTTTGGATCAGCCTAAGAAGGACCATTGAAGAGTCAACACGTACTCGAATGAACATAACCTTCTGTGGACAAATCTTTAATCTGAAAAAAACGCTCGAAAATTTCTCGACGTATTCCCTCTAACTAGTGCTAAGTTAAAAAAGAGAAAATCATTGTTTTCGGGTAATAAGCAGGGAGTTAATAAGAAGAGTTAGTAGTTGACTCATTACGCATACTTCGTCAAAAATGGCCCTTTGGCGAATTTCGCGCAAATAACGGGGAATTCTTGAGATGTGCGAGTTTTTAAACATTGAAAGCCATGTCTTCCTTCAAATGCATCTGACCAAAAAATTGAAATAGCGCTGTATTCTGAAAATTTGCTCTATTCAAAGTTCACTGATATATTTTAATGCGTTCATCACTTAAAAAATGTGTGAAGACAGTGGCATAGCGTAAAGACAAATCGTCAGGGCACGTAAATAGCGCTCAAAATGCACAGGTCTCTCTCAGATTTGAATAAATAGCTAAGGGTGGGCTTCAGAGCCAATTGAAGACTCAATTTGCTGTTTAGGTCCTCCTGCTTCTCTCTATTGGACATATTTTCTGCCCATGTCGTCGTACTGATTCGGTAGACCACGACCTATGGCAATCAGCTTCGAAAGTAAGCTTTTACAGTTTGAAATATTATTCATTCTACCCCACCGGAAGCACCTTTCAAATTAATGATGAGAACGAGGGACTGACAGCTGCACGCTTCTGCCCCTGTGCTCACGACCTGCCCCCCCCCCACCTTCCAAGAAGCCAAACGTGATCTCTATTCAGGGAGTTAACTGTTTTTCACGCTGCTTGAGGACCTTGCACCAATATGGCATCTTCTCCCCCCTCCTTTCCGCCGACACTGTTTTCATGGTCCTTCTACTACACTGCGCTGCTAAGCGGTAGGTTGTCCTCCTTTCCTGCGAGTGCTTGCTTTCTTCCCAGTTAGCATCCCTCGATTCATCGATTCCATAGGTGGTAAGTGGCGAAGCGTGTATGTATGCAGCGCTTGTATGAGTTCATCAATAGAGTTCTGTTGGAATTACCCAACGGGAGGTGAAGGATCACAGGCGGCCGACAACGCCATCCATTCGCAACAAATTACCTTAGACTGGATTAGGATCGTAACGCAAACAGCTGAGGCCGACGGGCGCCACAAGCGCCAGACATTGACCCCGATGTAATATTGTGCGACACAAAATACCGTAATCTGGCAGCTGCATAAGTGAGAGTGATGAGGTTTCCCTTGTCACATACGGAAAGTTGGCACAATAGTGAAATTAAAGAGCTGTGTTCCTGAATAATGAAAAAAGTAAGTAAAATTTACTCAGTAAATAATTGTTTTCGGCGCTTATGGCAGCCAGGATCAGAAGAATTTCATTTGGTTGAATTTTGGAGGGGATAAAGTAGAGCAAGTGACCTCTCTTGTCATGTTCATGAAACCAGGGGCCTTATTCCGAATCGGGTGTCGCCCACGCCAACCGAATACACCATCGTTCTTCACTAAGAAATATAAGGCAATGACTTGTACTTGGGTTGGCACCCCAAGTCAGGGTCAAATCCCATCAAAATAGCACTACGATTCAGAATGGAAGAAGGATGCGTGGCGCATACCTGAGGGTTTGATCACCTGTGAAAGCTTGACTTCGGTTCTCATCGTTTCTTCTCCTTTTATTTCTTTCTTCCCTACTTGTGATTTCTTGTTAATTTTATAATGCAAGAGAACTGCATGGCTAAAGAATGAACCTGCTTCGTGCTCCTTCTCTGGTTACTGAATCCCTGGAAAGTTAAGGACCTTGAAATTTTTGTTGTAATTCTAAAATAACATAATCAAAAAATGCATAAGTGTCAAAGAAAGTTTGATGGTCGTCACATATGGCAGAAATCGCCGCACGCGCCAAAAAAGCGTGCGCCAAACTTCCCTTGTTGTGGAGGTGATGGAAAGGAAGCGGAGTCATTCAGTTCGCTTGGTTTGGAGCTATCGCAAGATGCGGGGGCATTGTAGTGTCAACGCATTCAAAACCACGTAAAACACCTTTAATTGAAAAGTGGACTAGGCCTTAAGCGGGGTAGGAGAGAATCCAGGAAGCGTTTGCATTGTCTATTTTCCCCAAAGTTCTTGCCCTCTCCTAGGTTTAGTCTTAGAGGGTATTCCGTTCTAAAGGGGGACGTCCGGAAATTCTTCGTTGCCCTTAAGCCATGATTCGCTACTGAGCTGACATG